CACTCGTGGGTCGCCTGGAGCAGGTCGCAGCGGCGAAGGGGAGGGTGCCATGCTGCCCGCGGATGGTGCGCCTGCGGCGGGTGCTGCTGCTGCTGCTGGCGCGGAGGTGGAGAGCGCCGAAGGCGAGGCCTCGGTCAAGGTCGCGCTGATCTCGGCGTGGGTCAACGCGCCTGGGGCCCGCGTGGCCGCTCTCCAGCCCCACTTCGTGGGCTGGCCCGTCGACCGCCCCCGCGCCTGGCTGGGCTGGGCGGTGGGGGCGCCCGGTGCCGGCGCCCTGGCGGGGGGGGTAGGCAGCGGAAGGGTAGGCGATGGTGCGCTCTCCCGTGGAGGGGGAGCGCCGCCTGCCCCTTCCCCCCAGTTCCCGCGCGTGGAGGAGTCAGCCTACGGGGCCGTCCAGCGCATCGCCTTCTGAGGCGATCGAGCGGCGAGTTGCGCTGCTCGCGGTGGCGGGAAGGATTCGCTTTCCGCTCAGGCTGTGTCGAGGAGGAGGAGGAGGAGGAGGAGGAGGAGGAGGAAGAGGAGGAGGAGGAGGAGGAGGAGGAGGAGGAGGAGGAGGACGAGGGCGAGGAGGGGGAGGAGGAGGAGGAGGAGGAGGAGGAAGAGGAGGAGGAGGAGGGGGAGGAGGATGAGGAAGGGGAGGAAGACGAGGAGGATGAAGAGGAAAGGGAGGAAGAGGAATGGGAGGAGGAGGAGGAGGAGGAATAGTAACAATACTAATCATAATAAGTACACTAATGCGAACATCCATGATAACGATAATACTAATACCAACGCTAACAACAACGCGGCTTATACTAATAAACATATATTAAGAATCTTAACGAGACGAAGGATAAGAGCATATCACACTAGTAATACATCTTTATATATATATTCTAATGCGAAGGAGGATAAGCATGTTCAGAATAATAATCCGAACCAACAGAAGAAGTTGAATACACACACGTAAGTATAATAAGAGTATTACTAGCAATAACAATAGCACTGCTAATCGTAGTCATGGTAATGCTCCGGATAATAGTACTGCTACCCATAAGAACCGTCTTACTCACTGTAAAATCCCACTCATCGTAAGAATTCAAACATACTGGCATTAACATTAACACTAATACCAATACTCGCAACACTAATACCCATATTACTTATCATATTTCCGTACTAGCAAGCATAGTAATCATATTCATATTACTAGTACAAACAATACATTTACTGCTACCAATACTAGTAATTACAATATTACCAGTATCCGTAATGAGAACAGTATTTCACATAATACTACTACTGGTAGTTGTACTCATAAAGCGGTACTAATAAGAAGACTCGCGATACTAAGAATATTAGCAGTCGTAGTAGTAGTTGCAATACTACCAATGACAACACTAATGCAACAAATAGTACTAATGCTACCACTCATCATAATCATAGTACTATTAATACGAATAATCAACAACAAACACACTTTGGATTCATACTGCTAAAACTAGTAAGAATAGTAACAATACCACTACTACTACTGATAATAATACGAACACTATGAATGATACCAATAATAATACTGCGAATCGTAATACAGGGAATTCAGAAACAAACAAAAACAACAAGATGGGCATGCCCGGCTTCAGTCTCGCGGACCTACTCTAAACTTATATTTCCAACATTTTTTTTTGTTTCATGCCATGCCGTCATCGCGCGAGTGATAGTCGAAAACCTAATTTAAACAATGGTCACGATCATCTTCCCCCATCTCCCCTTCCTCCTCCTCTCCTTTCTCCTCCTTCTCCCCCTCCTCCTCCTCCTCCTCCCCCTGGCGGAGGTTGCAAAGCGATAGTTTTGGAGAAATGTTTGGGGAAGATCTGTTGGAAAATCTGAGGGAGGAAGATCTGGGGAAAGATCTGGCGGAAGATCCGGCGGTAGATCTGGCGGAAGATTTGGCGAACGATTTGACGGAAGATTTGGCGGAAGATCAGGCGGAACATTTGGAATATACTTTTGGCGAAAGATTTGGAGGAAGATATGGCGGAAGATTGGGAGGAAGATCAGCCGGAAAATTTGGCGGAAGATTTGGCGGAAGATTTGGCAGCAGATTTGCGGGAAGATCTCGCGGGAGATTTGGAGGATCAATCTGGCGGTAGATACATATGACAGAAGACTTGTCGGAAGATTTGGCGGAAGATTTGACGGAACATTTGGAGAAAGATTTGGCAGAAGATTTGGCGGAAGATTTGGCGAAAGATTTGGCGGAATATTTCGCGGGAGATTTGGAGGATCTATTTGCCGGAAGATTTTGGCGTGAGATTTGGAGGAAGATTTAACGGAAGATGTGCCCGACAATTAGAAGGATAAAGTTTGGCGTAAGATAGCGGAAGATTTGGCGGAAGATATGGAATATGAATTTGGCGGAAGATGTCGCAGAAGATTTAGCGGATGTTTTGGTGGAAGATTTGGAGGAAGATTTTGCGGAAGATTTGGAGGAAAATTTGCAGGAGAAAATTGGCGGAAGATTTGGCGAAGGATCCCGCGGAAAATTTAGCGGAAGATTTGCCAGAGGATCAGGTTGAAGATTTTGAGAGGAAGATTTGGCCGAAGATTTGGAGGAATGTCAGGCGGAAGATCTGGAGGATTGATCTGGCGGAGAATCGGAAGATTTGCGGAAGATTTGGAATGCACATTTGGCTGAAGATTTGGCGGAAGATTTGGCGGAAGATTGGCCAGATTTCTTCCAGATCTTCCGTCAGATCTTTCTCCAGATCTTCCGCCAGATCTTACGCCAGATCTTCAGCCAGGTCTCCAGCCAGATTTGCATTCCGGATCTTCCGCCAGATCTTCCGCTATATTTTCCGCCAGATCAATCCTGCAGATCTTCCTCCGGACCTTCCTCCAGATCTTCCTCAAGATCTTCCGCCAGATATTCTGGCAAATCTTCCGCTGGATTTTCCGCGGGATCGTTCGCCAGATCTTCCACCATATTTTCCTCCAGGTATTCCGCCAAATCTTTCTCCGGATCTTACGCGAGATCTTCCGCCAGATGTTCCGCTAGATCTTCCGCGAGATCTTCTGGCTGATCTTCCGCCAGATTTTCCTCCAGAGTTATATTCCACATCGTCCGCCAGATCTTCCGCCAGATCTTCCGCCAGTTTCATTCTCCAGATCTTCCGCCAGATCTTCCGCCAGATCTTCCGCCAGATCTTCCGCCAGATCTTCCGCCAGATCTTCCAGCAGATCTTCCGCTAGATGTTCCGCAAGATCTTCCGCCCGATCTTGCGCCAGATTTTCTTCCAGATCCTCCGCGAGATTTTCCGCCAGTCTTCTGCTATATCTCCCTCCAGATTGATATTCTAAATCTTTTGCGAGATCTTCCGCCAGATCTTCCGCTGGATCTTCCGCCAGATTTTCCGCCAGATCTTCCGCTGGATCTTCCTCCAGATTTTCTGCCAGATCTTCCTCAAGAACTCCCGCCAGATCTTCGACAGATCCTCCGCCAGATTTATCCTCCAGATTTTCCGCGGGATCTTCCGGCATATTTTCCGCTAGATTTTCCATCATATCTTTCGCCAGATCTTCCTCCAGATGTTCCGCCAAATCTTC